GAGCAGGCCAAAGGCACCCTGACTCGTTGTTCACAATAGCTGAGTCGTACCTACCAGAGTTCCAGACATCAGAAGGCGGCACACAATTCAGGGTCTGCGCGGGCCGTATGATGCTACTGTCGTGAAACTCTGTGTCCTGTAGGCGAAGTTTGAACCAGATTTGAATTTTATCAAATGGCAGGGAAGCAGTAGGTCCAGCCCTCCTGGCTCCCCCAATTGTGTGGACATAATTCTGTCCGTGGGTAGCTTCGCGACGAAGAAAATCAGCAATGGCCAGCCGTAAGTCAGGAAGGCCGAATTTGATAGCAGCATCGTTGATGGAGATGGATCTGATGGATGGGGAATATGTGAGATGATAGGCCGTGCGTCCGATGACGAATGTGCGCAATGGCAGAGGGACAGTCCCAACCTCCTTATGCTGGAGGATCTTCGCAATCGCAAAGTAATTGGTGATTGGGCGCGAATGTCCAGGACATTTTATAGTGGCCGTAAATTCCGTGGGGAGGTCATCATCATCATCCGCATCAAAGTCAACATCATCACCAATATTGTCATCCTGTAGCCTCGAGCTTGCCATACCATCCACGAGACTCATTGCAAGGTCAAAGCGACGGCACTTATCAACCCGGTCGAGATGTCGACAAATTTGAGGATCATAGTTGTTGTTGTTGCTTGATCGTGCGGGGTCTTTAATCTCTGTAATGTGTGCATGCTCTGTTGTGTCTGCAGTCCATTGCATGGCGACACCAGTGTTGCGGATGCTGGGAACTATACTCTGCATGAGCTCCAATTTTGGAATGTACCAGTTATCGATAACTTTGTTCTTGTTGCCTCGACGAAATCCTCCAGCTGTGATAGCGTGTTTATTGGCGTGAAATTCATCGAGGGCTCCAGAAATGCGCTTGATGTCGTCTTCATCAATACGTGGTGACTGGATGAGATACCGAAATTCCATCAATGCTCGGACAGCAGTGATCACAGCACTAGGTGCTGCGTCCGCACTGACTGCAACGATCGAACGCTGAATGTCACGTTGAGTTCGACCTGTAACCTGTTTTAGCTTGGAGATACCACCGTAAAAATGACGAAAGCCAGTGACGGGCTGCAACACAGAAAACCGGAAATCAATTTCCATATCCCCGACCGCACAAATCATCCACTTGACGTCGTGATCGTAGAATTCTCGGTGAATGAGATGCAGAAATTCTGGAGTGAGGAAATGAGACGGTTCACCAAGGGTCCAGTCCTGCCAGAAAGGTTTAGAGACACCGTTCAGGCGAAATTTCTGCGCTTCGCGAAAGAAGGCTTCAATATCGTTGGGATCTGCCCTTGTTTGAACGACAGCCAGCTGTGCAAGTGTGGTTGATTTCGTGCGAGGTTCGTGACGGAAAGGGTCTCCGAACTGCTTGAACATGGCCATGGTGACCGGAGATGTTTTCCCACCGACAGTAGCTAGCATCATAGCCTCTGGAGTGTCGACAATATAGCTTGCCAGGGGGGTAAAACAATAGCGGCTATGTCCAACAGGGTCTGATAACATGACTCCTTCACGTGCAGCCTGCTTGAGTGGACGCAGGACGATATCTAAACATTCATGAATTAAGCGATCCTCGAGTACACCTCGCATGCGTTTATTCTTATGTATAAATTTAGGTACGGGGAGCAAGGCGGTGAGTACAAAGGAGTTGGACGATGTCTTGAGTCGTGTGGACATGTTGATATTCGCAAGGCTGACGAGAAGCGGGTGTGCAACTCTGTCACCCGTCATCGTGGATATATTCGTTTTGTCGGATGATAGAATGGTTCCAAGGAGTGTTGCGCCTTTGGATAGGGCAGACTGTTGAGAAACCATTAAGTTCAGCGACTGGTGCAAAACATGAATATATACCTGCATATTCCATGCGTCATCGCCTGTCATCCATTCTGAATATACACGACACAAGCGTTGTGCAGTAATATAGACCCTGCGAGGCGTGAAGTCTAACCGATCGTGAAAAAAGGGATGATTCAGAATGGCTGAAATACAGTCCAAGGGATCACGCCAGTACAAAACGACGGGTGATTTGGTGGGATGACTCGTAGAGAGCACTTGGGACATCCAGCGTGGACCACTGGGCAACATTTCTGCTCTGCCTCGCAGTTCCTTGGCCGAGGAAAAAGATATTGGAAGACCCTTAATCTTGACAAAAGACTTATCATCGGAATTGTAATGAAAATGAAACAATTTGCTTACTATGTCGAGTGATAAAAAACTGTCTATCTTCCCCATGCTCAATCCTGAGCGCAGTAACCACGATGCAATCTCCCAATCCTTCCGGCCACTGAATGGGTAATAGGGATTCTTGGCACGGTACACACTATTCTCATCAGAATTGAATAAGTCGAGGAAGGTGTACCCCATGCCATACGTCCGAGAAGATTCGGGATATTGGTCGACGAAATCTGAGGCACCATTCGGAAGTAATCCCTCCTCAGAGGCCTGGCCACCACTCTCACCGCTACCTTCAAATGACTCGTCTCTATCTCCGAATGTGAACTCAACCTCAGCCTGAGGCCCACCACCGGGAATATTCGGTCCGTCCAAGTCATCTGTATTCATAGAATCGTCAGATAGGTCCCGCAGACGTATTAAATCCTGTAGCCAGGTGCTACATCCTGAGCGAGGCTGGCTCATGTGACGAGCAACAGCAACCTGATCTCTGAAACTGGCTTTACCGCATGAAGGACACTGGAAATTGGACATGATGGTCCTCGCAAAGTCCGACACTCATGAGTCGTGAGAAGCCCAATTCATAATCAACAACTTACTCTTTGTTTCTCTGAAATGTCAGCCCCACCAATCAGTCTTAATCTCAGCAATGATATCCCATCATCATCTTCGCGCCTGATGCCTTGTACGCGCACACACTCTGTTCAGCAATGTCCAAGTTGTCACTCGTGTCGTCACGATTCCAGCGGTATTTCTGACCTGTACGATATAGCCGATGGTATCAGGTCAATGGTAAGTCAATCATATTGTATCGCATTCGCTCTAAGTAACATGGTACTTACAGTCAATCAACGACACCGATGAACTTGAAGCCAACCTCGTCATGGACCTAGCGAGGGTGAGGCGGGATGTATTTAGGGCGGAGAAGGTGCTAGCGGATTGTGTAGTGCGAGAACGCGAAATCATGGCGAATCTTTCTAAGCACCAGTCCGACGTTTCGAAGAAAAAGCTCGACAAAGCAGATATAGGATTAGGGTATATGCGAATTACTTTTCAAAAATACGGTCTTTCTCACCGTTCACTTGCGCCATGCAGTTTGCAAGGTAAGTCATATCTGTTCACATTCGCCACTGCAAACTTCATGTCTTATCACAGAACAATCCAACCGTCGTGTATCAGTAATTTTAGACTGATGACTCGAGCTATTCTTATTCTTTTGTGTTCAAGTTCGGCGCGCGCATTAGTAGTACTAGTATGTACAGTACTACTACTATATATTGGTATTTCGTTGAATATAATGTTTGTATCGTAATTGGGGACAATGTGCAAATTCAAGCTAGCAATTAAAAGGAAGTTCCGAGCCTGCTACTACTAAGTACTAAGTACTAAGTACTAGTACTACTAGTAGACTTCAACACTTTAAAAAGATTGAGGCCGTTGAGCTGGAAACCATTGAATTTATTTTGAACAGTCTGACCCAGTTGTGAGCTCTGTGACCACTTTGGCGTCTGGGGCTGTACGTTCTGTGAGCTCTGTCGCCACTTTGGGTGGCTGTGGGAAACTGTCGAAAATTACCATATCTGTGAAGAAATTTCTAGTTTGCAGATGCACCAGGGTCCCGAATTCACTTACACGGCACTACACAGCATTTGCGCAAAACCTTGGACCGCTGCGAGACACGTGGCAGATGAATACAACTGCTGGTTGTTGGGTATTCATACGATTTCGCGTGACAATTTGAAGTAAGCTGTACGTTGTATATGTTTGCTTGATGGACACATTCCGGCTGCGATACGAAAGTGGCACTTCTTTGCACAAATTCGCAATTGATATATAGTAGACAAACATGAACAATTTAAAGAAGGTGGCGTTAAAATTCGCACAAGGCATCAGTTTGCACTTCGTAAACACTTCGTGGTACTCTGCAAAACACGAGTTTTTTGGTCTGGCTTGGGACGTTGCACGATACTCGAAGAAAATCAACTTTTTGGAGAAGAGGGCGTCAAAATTAGCGCGAGAATATTAATTTAAACTTGTGCACTTGGTAAACACCTTGTAGTCATCCGGAAGATTAAGGCCTTCACGCCTGACTTTGACACGATGGAATTCACTTCTGAGGTGCCGATAGTGTCTCATGCAGTTCGACCCTTTGATTTTACTCCATATCACTTTCGAGTTAGATATGTAGGTGTTCTCCCGATCAAACGCTGGTGTAGGAAATTTATGCATTGTCCTTTCCTGTATAAAGTCAAACATCACTATGTGATGATGGATAGCAGAATTATACAGATGTTTGTGATTGTGTACTATGTATCGTCATATATACTCTTATCATCTTTCCTCCAGTTCACTGATGGCCAGGGAGGCATTTCCTAATTCCTGATGGCTTGATACTAAATTGATCTATAGCCACTTTGTAGCATCATATAATGTAGATGGCTAGCGATGCTACCCGCACCGTCATACATACCCAAGGTATCATTTTCGCTATGGCATCAACAGTCACTGGCATGCCGCTGGATGCCGCTGGATGCCGCTGCCATCATGTCAACAATTCTAGAAGGCATCTTATATGGCGAGTTGCATCGATTGTATCCGTTTCATGCTCACCAAACTAGCATCTTTCAGGCTTTTCAGTTCTCATGTTTATAGGTACCATCTGTACATTCACCTATAAAAAAACGCATGGGGGACGTCAATCGGCCAATCGCTGTGATTGCCGTCCTTCTGTTTTCACTGAGTACTATGGTCAGGTTTTCGTCACTTGAATCTACTGAAGACTCCCAAGCACATGGTCATAGACATTATTCAGCTCGAAGATGGATTGGTGAAGTATCGTAACACATTCCCAGGCGGCCCAGCGGCATTCTTCGCAGACTATACCCAGGAGACGTATGTGGCCAAGACTGCGGTGATTCTCGTGCAAACTCTGCTTGCCGACAGGATAGTGGTAGGATCAAAACTTCACCTGCCAACTTGAAACCCTCATAGCTTATAGAAATTCCCTCTCTGACAAAAAGGTTTATCGATGTTACGTCGTTTGGCAATCTGTCCGGGTTGTGATTCTACCATGCATGGTGTGGTGTGCAGTTGCAGGTTTGGTTGCCATCATACTCAAAATGTGCGTGTTCTGACGTTCATTCGTTTCGAAGTGTGCGGGGGTTTTACAGTCTACGACCTTTCACTGGCTAGTGATGCCGACAGTGTTTTCACTGACCAGGCTGGACAATGGGTCACGGCGTTCATTATCTTTACTTTTACAACCAATTTGTTCAGCTCAGGTAAGTACATTCCTGCGTAAGCGCGATATAGAGACACTTACGACTTATATGTGCAGGATTACTGGTGTACCGGATTTGGACGATCGAACGGAATATCTCTACAGTTCACACCAGGAGAGGTATAAGGCCTATCGTGAGGGTGCTCGTGGATGCTGCTGTTTTATACTCTGCGACCACCTTTTCCGCGATAATATGTTTTGCCCTTTAACAATGGCGCATATGCCATGGGAAACTTCTTGGTAAGCGTCCACCACCAATACTTAAATGAGAATCATTGAGCTTCCGTCAACTAGATCAATCCGATCATCTCGATTTCCTTCCACATGGTGTTTATTCGCATCGCAATCAATGAAGATACTCAAAAATTCGTCTCGACTTTTTCTGGGACAGTTGAAACAGACCGAGGAATCCCGCTGCATTATCATATGCAGACTTTGTGGACTGCACGCAGTGATAATGATACATCCTCCTGGCTAAAATAGGGATCCATCCATCCAGTCTGATATAAATTCCTGTCGTATTCTCTTGTTTCGGATGGTGGCTACGTCACTCTAGGCCCCGTGAAGAATGTCAAAATATCTCACTGTACTTTATCTGCGGAAACAGGTGTTATCAACTTTGCGGTCGGAAATTGGCTCAGAGCTCTGAATCAGCAAGTGTGCTGCTTCGGAGTACTATTCGTCATGATGTTGTGGTAAGTCATTCAACTGCTCGCAAAGAAGGGTGCCCATGCGACAAATTTTGGAACGATGGAATGTCTTTACAATTCGCATCAGAAGAGGTATAAGGCCTATTGTGCGTGTGCTTGTGGATGCTGCTGTTTTATACTCTGCGACCACCCTCTCCGCGATAATATATTTGGCCCTTTCGAACAATGGCACATATTCTGAGTGCCAAGTAGATTCCGTGTTGACGTTATTGATCAAACTGATTTTGGAACAAAATTGAGAACTGAGAAAAATTATTGCGTCCCTGTGCCCTATTATTTGTCAAACCTGAGCATGACCGCCAGGACTGGCTTGTGACTGTACAGAAGGCTCCCACCGACGCACCCCCACACGACTAGATGCTATCGAAATGAACGACAGTGTATTGTCATTCCAGCATCACAATGTCTGTAAAAATATGACCATGATATCAGCTCAATCCTATCATTCTGAGGCGGCGAGTTTGTAAATACTGTTTTTCAATCATTTTCCCTCTCAATCCAGTCATCGAAGCTTGGATTATAAACATACAAGCGGTGACCATTGCTTTATTACAAAGGCAGATTTTTTACGCTATTAGTATTTGCACCGATGTTCTTCGTCTCCTCTTGGAACTCGACAGCTTTTGACACGGGACATATAGTTGACTTGCAATGAGCAAAAGGATCTGTTCTGAAATCGAGAATTGTGCGCGAGAGTGAGACCTTGGCAGCCTTTGAGATTCAAGAGTAGTCGCAAAGGAATCTGTTTGCGTTTCACTGTCCAACAGGAGTAGTAAGGATGAAAATAAAATGTGATTCGTGGAATACAGTGGTTCTTGAGCTTTGTGGAGAAAAGAAAGCGCGTTCGAGGCAAGCGTGAGCCCGTTGGCCAGTATGTGCGCCGGGAAAGGAAAAGTGAGAGCTTTGTCAATGTCTGTTTCACAGCCACGATCAGAATAGAGGCAACGTACGATTGCCGTCGCCGAGAGGTTCTATTGGTTCCTGTGAAAACAGCATGGGCAACTTGGGTGAGACAACAGTGGGTAACAGGAGGACAGCGAATATCGTTTGCATGTAGAGGTGAAGGCCATCATCGGTCACTGCAGAACCAATCATGGGATTCACAGTGCGAGCATCATGGGCCGCGTTAGATCGCTCCAAATGCTACTGTTAAGTCACCACCAGGTAGAACAATGTAGCCGTTATTGTCGTATTGTCATGAAGATCCGTTTTGGATAGCGACCAATTCATGAAAAGTACAGGCTAGTACAGGTGGTCGCCATATACTAGTAGCACTGGAACGAAAGAACGAAAAAGGAGCAATGAGAAGTGGTAACAGGATGTGAGCTTGCGTCAGTGTTCTACCGTACGGCGTGCTGGAAAGAGTATATGTTATCCATGTATATATGGCTGATAGTGTCTTGAAACAAAACGGAAGAGCAACTTGGAGGTCAAAAGCATTACAAATGAGCAACACAGCATGATGGGATGGATACAATTGATACCGAGCTGGCGGCTACTCGTACTTTGACCAACATTACAGGTGGCTAAATATATCTCATCTCGCCTCAGTTTTGCATTTTCCAAGGACTTCAATTCACTTGCTCTGGGGTTTGAGCTTGCGAGAGATAAGAACTATCCATAGTGATACACTGGCGACTTCTGATTTCTACGGTTATGCCGTCATCCACGACCAGCCCATCACTGCGCCATCTATCATGATCATGTCAACTTGAAGGTTCCGAGAACATAGCCTACCTGATGGCCTGATATCTATAGCGACTCGTAGCATTATATAAAGTAGGTGGCTAGCGATGCTACCCGCACCGTCGTACATACCCAAGGTATCATTTTCGCCATGGCTTCAACAGACACTGGCATGCCGCTGGATGCCGCTGCCATCATGTCAACAGTTCTAGAAGGCATCTTATATGGCGAGTTGCAACGATTGTGTTCGTTTCATGCCCACCAAACTAGCATCTTTCAGGCTTTTCAGTTCTCATGTTTATAGGTACCATCTGGATATTCACCTATAAAAAACGCACGAGGGACGTCAACCGGCCAATCGCTGCGGTTGCCGTCTTTCTGTTTTTACTGAGTACTATGGTCAGGTCTTCGTCACTTGAATCTGATACCATCTACTGAAGACTTCCAAGCACATTGTCATAGACATTATTCAGCTCGAAGATGGATTGGTGAAGTATCGTAACACATTCCCAGGCGGCCCAGCGGCATTCTTCGCAGACTATACCCAGGAGATGTATGTGGTCAAGGCTGCGTTGAGTCTCATGCAAACTCTGCTTGCCGACGGGGTAGTGGTAGGATCAAAACTTCACCTTCCAACTTGAAACCCTCATAGCTTATATAAATTCCCTCTCTGACAAAAAGGTTTATCGATGTTACGTCGTTTGGCAATCTGTCCGGGTTGTGATTCTACCATGCATGGTGTGGTGTGCAGTTGCAGGTTTGGTTGCCATCATACTCAGAATGTGCGTGCTCTGACGTTCATTTGTTTCGAAGTGTGCGGGGGTTTTACAGTCTACGACCTTTCACTGGCTAGTGATGCCGACAGTGTCTTCACTGACCAGGCTGGACATTGGGTCACGGCGTTCATTATCTTGACTTTTACAACTAATTTGTCCAGTTCAGGTAAGTATATTCCTGCGTAAGCGCGATATCGAGACACTTGCGAACTTGAATATGTGCAGGATTGCTGGCATACCGGATTTGGACGATCGAACGGAATATCTCTACAGTTCACACCAGGAGAGGTATAAGGCCTATCGTGCGGGTGCTTGTGGATGCTGCTGTTTTATACTCTGCGATCAACTTGTCTGCGATGGTATGTTTTGCCCTTTCGAACAATGGCACATATGTCATAGGAAACTTCTTGGTAAGCGTCCACTATCAACACTTGATATAAGTTTCATTGAACGTCAATCAACTAGATCAGTCCGACCATCTCTATTTCGTTCTACATGGTGTTTATTCGCATCGCAATCAATGAAGATACTCAAAAATTCGTCTCGACTTTTTCTGGGACAGTTGAAACAGACCGAGGAATCCCGCTGCATTGTGCTATGCAGACTTTGCAGACTGTATTCAGGGAGAATAGCACATCCTCCCGGCTAAAATAGCAATTCATACAGCCTGATTTAAATCCCTTTCGTACTCTCTTGTTTCGGATGGTGGCTACGTCACTCTAAACCTCACGAGGAACGCCAAAATATCTTATTGTACTTTATTTTCTACTTGTCCGAATAGTGTTCGAGATAGATTATCTGCGGTAATAGGTGTTATAAACTTGCGGTCTAATTGCTCTTCAGCTACTCATCGAAGATCTGATGCCACGGAAATTGGCTCAAAGCTCTGGATCAGTCGTGTGTTGCTTCGGAGCACCGTCCGTCATGATGTTGTGGTAAGTCATTCAACTGCTCTCAAAGAAGGGTGCCCATGCGACAGTTTTCGAACTATGGGAGCCACTTTAATACTCTCAACTGACCCCTGAAGGTTGATCGAATTAAGTTGTCATATAATTATAAGTGGGAGGGTATCTGTATAAAAGTATACGTAGTTGGATGACTATGTTAATGGATGTGTCTCTACTTTCGAGCTACTACTATCACCCAAGGAAAATTTGGAATCATTCGGCCTGTGTATCAACGGCTGCAAAGGATGTTGCTGTAGTTTTCTTCGTTCTGTCTCGGTGGTTTCTCTATGGGCAGCCGAGGGGTAATGTTGATTGCTTTGACTGGTCGCGACGCGGATAAATATCATATAGAAAGTAATTGAGATGATCGGAACGATCTGGTTGATAAAAATCAGTGATTTGCGATGGCAGGTTTCAACAGCCAAATTACCAGGTCTCCCATCACATAGAGTCCATCGTTCCAGAGGCCAAAACATATTATTGAGGAGCCAAGTGCCGCAGAGTACAAAACTGCAGCATCTATAAGCACGCGCAATATAGGTACCTTCCGCTTCATAGTGCAGACTGCAGAAACCTTGCGCTCGATCGTCCAGATGCGATATGCCAGTAACCCTGGATAAATTCAGGTTGGTATTGGGTATCAACATCGCATTTACGCGGAAGTGTGCTCACCGGTACTCAACATATTAGTTGCAAGTGTGGAGGAAAGGAAAGCGGCGACCCAATGACCAATCTTGGCAGCGAAGAAATTTTCAACTTCGGCCATCGATGCTTGAGAAAAGTAGTAGACCGAACAAACGCCAGATGCTTTGAGACAACGTCAGAGTACACGACTTCCTGAGTGCGATTACGACCTAACCTGCAACGCCGCACCACATCATGCACGGTATGGCAATGACCCAGGCAGATTGCCAGACCACGTAACATCGATAAATCTTTTCCCCGAAAGACAGATTCTGTAAGCAGAAGAAGGTCTGAGAAGATTTGACGCACCACCACCCCGTCGCCAAGTAGAGTTTGCAAGGTATATATCGCATTCTTGATTACAAATGTAACTTGAGTGACGTCTGCAAAGAACGCCACTGGTCCGCCGGGGAACGTGTCCCGATACTTCACCAGTCCATGTTCGAGATGAATAATATCCACGACTATATGCTTTTGAGCTTTCAGTAGATGGTATTGGATGCATGCGGAAAGAAGCTAACCGCAGTGCTCAGCACGAACAGCAGGGTGGCAACCACAGCGATTGGCCGATTGACGTCCTGCACGTGTCGCTTATAGGTGAATGTCCAGATGGTACCCAGACACATGAGCACTGAGAATCCTGAAGAACGTTAGCGAGTCGGCTACTTGGCTATGGACGCGAAAACTCATTGTGATACATACCGTATAAAATGCCTTCCAGCACTGATGACATGATGGCAGCGGCATCCATCGGGATGCCAGCCAATGCAACCATGGTAAAACTGATATCTTGGGGTGTAAGACGGTGTAGGGTAGCTTCTCCAGCTCCATCTATATTATTATAATCAGAGAGTAGCTGATTGTAACAATGCATGCTGTAGAAATTGGTGAATTTTGGTTTCAGTTTGAATAAGGCTTGAATTGATCTTGGACCAGCGCTCGACATTGCATCGGTCAGATAACACCCCGTGACTTACTCCCTTGTGAACCTATTTCCTGTACAAGACATTTAGTTTCGAGACACAATACGTGGTGCTGGTTTTGAAGAATGACAATGACTTTCTCTGTTTCACGATGGCAATCAGAACAAGTTGAAGTGGTGGAGGATATAGTACCGCATCATTGTTCTGCTACCCCCCATACAATTAACAGTACATCGATCATAACAAAGGAAGTGATTCACGCCAAGTAATGGGTCTCGACCATCTTCATTCCATACACCTATGGTCTGTCTAATAGTCGGCTCGCCTTGTCACTATATAGT